GTCTGGTTCCCCCTTGTGATACCCGCCCCTCTTCTCTGCCATAACCTCCCCTCCATCTTTCGTAGGCCACTAGGTCATCTTTATGACACAGGCATCGCATTTCTTAATGTTTTACACTTAATATCAAGAGTCAAAACTGTCTTATTTAACTCTTTCTCTGACTTCTCCTCAGGCCTAGTCCCAGTGCCAGGCACTTACATCTAGGTTTGTTGCATGAGTGGTTGTGGTTACACAAATGGTTTGATAAGGTAGGAATATATGTAGTCCATGGTTAAGCTAAGTATCCCTTATTTGTCTGTAATTAGAGAAGACATCCGGAGTTTGTTCTAATAAACACTTTCTTCTTGTTTTCTCTCTCAAAATATGTTACATCTTTGGTGTCTCCTTGTCTTTGTCCTGTCAAAAACATAGGACTCTCTCAGACATATTCTTTATCCTGTATCATAATATGGATACGAAGATTTTTGTGAAGATAACGTAGTAACCATGGTGCAGCAACCTTCTGTGACATGAGAATGTGATAATTTATGTGAAGATGCTTGGAAAGGGGTGGAATATTGTGCCAACATAAGGTATTACTAATCAGTAAAGGAGATAAATGGAGCATTACTAACAGTAACAGATGTCCCTTCAAGGTCTCTATGAAGAGGAAGGTGGTACATTATATTGGAGAACCCAATTAATCAAAACTAAGCCAGTTGTTAACTAAGAAGCCCTTTCGTGAAGAAAAGGGACAATTCTCGATTCACTGTTATGTATGTAATGTAACACCATCTGTATGTAGGAGGCACTCTAGGGGGACAAAATGGTAGAAGCTACAGGAAGATATATTTAATCTTAGTTTAATAAAAACACTTTCTCACAACTAGTGATGTTCACTAATGAATCGAGCTGCTGCCTGAGGCAGACTTTGCTCCCTGGGGCTGGATGGATTTCTTTCCATCTGGATGGCCACCTGCCAGGAATGCTTAGAAGAAATGTTACGTTGGAGAGTTGGTTGGACTAGATGCCTTCCTTCTTATCCCCAAGCTTCTGGGAGTCTCGTAAACATAAACCTGAAGATTGTTATCACTGTATTGACATAACTTTGACTTTGGCATTCAAAACTGAAGAATTTTCAGAGTTCATTGTGCCTCAAGTGAAGACATTGAAAACAAGGAGAAGGAAGTCATTCAAAATCCCACTGTGAATTATTTGCAGAGAAGGGCTAGGTTCTCACAGCTCTTTAGTTTCCTGTATTTTAGATAGTCAGTGACCCATACTCGTCCCCTGCCCTTCTCCACACACATCCTGTGTTCCCACCTTAGCAGGACCGCCTCCACCTGCCGCCCGCCCCCCAAGCCCTCTCGTGCTCTTCTGTGCCCTCTCAGCTGTGCATGTGCAGTTGTCTCTTCCCCTTCTCCGTGCACCTGCACCTTCTCCCCCTTTCAGGACTGCACTGCCTTCTTTCTGAAGTGTTTTCAGTCTTCCACCCCTCAGAATGACTTAGGTGTCCCTCTCTGCTCCCTTTTCATAATGCACTGAAATCATTGATTTTTCTTTTCTGTCAGTCTCTCCTCTTCTGTGTGGTTCTCGAGGAAAGACAGTATTTTGTAGCCTTTAGTGCCTAGATGCCATATATCAACCTACATTTATTGATGGATGCATGAACAAGTGGATGAACAAATGAATGAACAAACCAATAGGCCCACTCTAAGCCAGGATGATTTAT